TCAGACGCAACGTGCAGCAAAAAATTTAGGGTACTATATTTGGGTCCTCTATTTTCGGAAACCCCCATGCAGGGTTTAGGAAAGACGGCCAGGGGTTTCGGGCTTAACGACTGGCTGTAGTGGCTCTGTTAGGACCTGAAGCCGGTACCTACCTGAGCAAAGTAGTTCGTGCTATGGGAATGGGGTTCAAACTGGCTTGGGGTTCAGTGTTCCTCGTTTGGCAGCTTCGAAGCTGAGATTAAAAGTCCAAGGACTTTGGAACAGTGATCCCTAAAGCTTGAGTCACAATTACACCATCGCTTTATTACTCGTTAGTATGACCATATTACCTCCGTGGTGATAAACAAAGACGGAGATGATCTGAATATCAGCATGATCACCAGCTGTTTTGCGGTTGGTTCCAATTTTGCATTGGGACTACGGTTCAGCCGGTCGTCACTATGAGCAGTGTTCTTGCTTTTCAAAGCTCCATCCTCAAACCCTCGACCCTAAACCCTCAACCCTAAACCCTCAACCCTAGACCCTAAACCTAAACCCAAACCTTACACCATAAAACTCAGCCCTGAACCCAAGGATTGGACGGCACGGCGTGACGTCGTTGAGAATGTTGCGAAGGGATGAGCTGATCAGCTGCCTGTAGGATTCCTCAATAAAAGTTGGTTCGTTACCACATACCACAAACCATAATCTAGTTCTTAGAACCCTTACATGATTTCTTAGGATTTGCTGACTGCCACGGCTCGATCGGAATCAAACGTCCTTTGCGAAAAAAAGATATAAGGAAAGTATCTATCTCTTCTGATGCGGGCTTTGCGACATGATATGATTATAATTTTTGGTGAATCAATATATTTATTTGATAACCTGTTCGGTTATATCGAAATCTTTCAGATAGATAGAATATCTCTTCAAGAAATAAGATCTATTCCATATATTTTCCGAGATATTTGAATATAACTTCGATAAAATATATTCAATATTTAGTTTTCTTCTTGGTATATAAATATTTTTCATTATATAAATTTATTTTTAAGAATTTCTTTTGAATAGATATATTGCTTTTTTTAATAAATACGATTAAATCTGGATAGATAGATTTCTTTTCAATATTTCGATTAGATTATTATTTAGGAATGGGATTCTTTTTGAATTTAGTATTCTGATTTTTTATTTTCTTTATAGAATTATATATTTTAATTATAGTGAAATTCATATATATATATGTTAAATATTAAAATATAATGAGTATATATAATTTAGATTTATTCTACGAATTGATTTAATATTAAATATATTTCTATAAAATGGTATTATAATTAATTGATAGATTATCTATATATATTTATTGATGATTAAATATATTACGGATTTATTCATAATTTTGGCTCTATCTTTTATTTATAAAAGATTTCGTGAGATTTCTATGAAATTTCTTATTTATTTTTATATTATTTATCGATAATCGCGGAATTTTCTAAATTTTATTTGAAAGGAGATTCTTTGGGAATTTCATAAAATAATCTGTAAGATACGAGGATTTTTTTAAATTGATTCTTATTATATAAATCTTGAAGTTCTATTGCTTAGCAATATTTATATATGATTTTGAGCTTAATAATAAGGAATTTGAATATGGATTATTGAATAATTTATATATTTTTTTGGATTGTTATTGATGGGGCGAAGGCAAAAAGGTTGCAGGGAGTATTATAAGAGTTGATGGGGAATGTCGTAGAGTTCGGAGGTGCGAGTCGTGCTAGATCTCTCGGAATGATAGGGAAGGGGAGGGAGTGGGGTCAGGGATTTTGGGGAGTAATGTGCGAGTTTTGAGTGGAATGACGCGAAGTGATGGGCGAGGGCTTGCGTGGCGTGGGGAGGGTCGTGGGGGAGTGGGGTCGTGTGAAATTCGTGAGGAATCATGAGTGAGGAATGAGAGGGCGAGGAGTATCTTAGATTGGTGTGGGCGCATATCTATTATGGGAAGATATGGCGATTATGATGGTATATGGGGATTATTGGGAGAATGGGGAGTGTCGTAGAATGGAGGATAAGAAATAAAGATATTGGATCACGGAATATATCATATGAATTTGAGGATATTATTATAGAATGGAGCGGTCTAGATAGATATTTTTTAAAATATATCGAAGAATACGAATTATTATTTAGTGGGAGAAGACGAGCTCAGATTAAAATATATTTATTATATTTAAAGTCATAGTTTGAAGGCGAGAGATTATTTTTATTATAATTAATTAGAATAATATCAGCAATTACTATTACTACTATTATTATTACGACTACGATGACGACTATCACTTCTATTACTGCTTCCGCTATTTATATCGCTACTGCTACGACTCTTGCTACTGCTCCGATATATATCATATAATAAAATTCCTTCTGCATTTTCCATATCTAGGTCGAGATCATATAAATCAATCAGATATCGTAATCATAGATCAGAATATAGATATATAAATTCTATCGAAGATATCCGTGTTATAGGGAGTGTTTCGGAGTGAGCCGGGGCATACGGGACGCGAGGAGTAATGTGTGAGTTTGCCGGGAGTGTCGTAGAATTCGGGAGGTGCGAAGCATGGCCAATATCA